TTATAATTTTGAAAAATATCGTGATATACATTTTCGGTCATACCGCCCAGCACTACTTCAATGTCTGACTTAAAGGGGTCATATGATGCGATTTCAATTTTTCCTTTCTCTTTGGAGTGTTACAAGCTCTTGGTGTACGTCCATAAGCTTTTTGTAAAATCTAGATGAACTCATTAATCTGTTGCTTGACCTCTTCATATTTAAGGAAGGAACTATAGTTTCCAAAGTCTGACATCGCTTGTTATGATTTTCAAGGGTGTAGATTTAGTATAGACGCTATGACATGTCCTTACCAATATCCAGAGACTACTAAATTGTCCCTAGTAATAATTTTGATAGCACAATTAAATGTCTGTTGTGTGCCGTTATGTCCCCACACAGCAAAATCCCCCGAGTTAAATCAACTCTGCTCAGAGTACATATTGTCCCGATCTACAGAGTGTTAAAGTTACACTGAAGCCGAGTTAAAGTTAATGGGATAATTAAGCAATTAATTAATTGATGAGTGAGCATTAGTAAAGAAAACCCGCTGTTAACAATGTTGAAGATGAACAACTACTGCTCAGGCTTTTAGACATGAAAACGTATCACATAATCTTCAACAGTGGTAACTCTGCTTCAGTGTTACTTTAACACTCTGTAGATTGGGACAATATGTACTCTGAGCAGAGTTGATTTAACTCGGGGGATTTTGCTGTGCACCAATGCCAAAATCAAACCTTGTTGCAGCGATACTGTTAACGAACATCCAGACGCCATCCACGCTGTTGAGAGCTGTGCGCTTACCTCTCAATAACAAAATAAACACACAACAAAAATGATAGCGGTGAGAAAACAGCAGTTAAGAAAGCATCTGATCACAGTGATGTGGATATGTTTGCACCAGCTCTGCAATTCACCGGCATCATGTCAACAGATGAGGTAATTAAAATTACATTTATGATAGAGTTTGATTATGAAGTAATTTGAGACTGTAGAATATATAGATCTGGCTGTTTTGTATTTGAGACTACAGTTTGAATTAATCCATTGTCTTGGATTATTTCTCGAAAACAAAAGCTTTAATTCCACTGTGTTCTTTCCAGTTCTCCAGGGCCTTTAAAATGTTGTTGTTTCTTGTCACATTCAGACATGAGTTAACACAGGGAGATTCAAATGTGTAGAAAACAGAGCAGCTGTCTTTTCTTTTATTCAAAAGTTTGGTCATGGGTGAGTTGTCAGCAGGATTCAGCAGGAGAGACTCTGAATGCATGTTGTATTGCTTCTTTTTACTGATTACAACCTTTTTAGTTCCTGCAGCGATGAGTTCTGCACCTTGGTAAAGTGCCTTTGTGTCATCAGTTATAGCATTTTTCACGTTCACCGCTTCTTCTTGAGTCAGGAAGTTGTTCTGTGAAGGATTGAAGTTCTGTTGACACTGATGCTTTGGCACGTTGATGGCTGTAGCGTACTGACGAGGATGTTTATCTCCATCGACTCTCTTATAGCTGGAAAACAGTAAACGGGATCAGTATTGTTTTAGGTGACTAATGACATAATGACACACTCCCATGTTTTTAATTTATGACCGTTTGACAGACGGTTTTTCTCCGTTTTTTGTTGCGACTTCCTCTTTGCTAACTTTTAATGTAACCATTAACTTTGAGATGTTAATTTTTTTTTATAGAAAATGGAGTCCTACTTACTTTTGCTCGAAGAAATCAATAATACGGGCTAGAGTACTGATGTCCACAGTCTCAACATCAACGCTTTCTGTCCAGTCAGGAAGCAGAAAGAGCAGCAGGAGTCCACTCAGAAACATAGTGAGCTTCTAAAATCACAACACATACACAAACACATACAGAAAAACAAAATAATGTATAAATCCAATGTGCATAGTTCATCAGAAAAACTCCTACAAGCCCATTCAAAGTGAAACAAACCTACTCCCAAAATCACTGTGTATGATATGAGTCTTGAATGTGACTGACCAATGCTGTTTCTTGTTCCAAGTGATGAATGAATGAAGTGAAAGAGAAAGTAGGTTTATTCTAGTCTGCACCAGCCCTCTTCTTAAAAAGAATGTAGAATCACTGACTCCCCAAATAATGCCAGTAGCATTTTGTGTTTATATGGCACTTAAAAAGAACCAGTTATTAAATTATATGATATATTTCAAAATGTTAATAGACTTTATGTATGTGCAATTAAAGGAATGAAAATGCAAAGTAGTATTATTGTAGGATTGATTACATTACATTTTTGTAAATGATGTTTAGATGGTAATTACACACCAGTAGAGGGAATCATTGCAATGGAAATACATCAGCGGATATCAGTTCTGTGCGTGAATGTAAAATATATAATGAGAGGGAAAAACTACAAATTTAGATCAGTGTATGTGTATCTACAGTTTAAAGTAGTCTTAAGCTGTACTAAATATTGCAGAGCCAATGGAGATTTTATTTGAATTGATTTTCCGTTGGTGGAGAAGAAATTAACAAGCTGGTCATATTTTGTTTAAAACATAAGCTACATGATATTAACTATTATATGAAATCAATATCTCACTCACAATCACAGCTGTGACTTTTGTCTATGCGATATTGATTATTTGAATGAAAAAACTACACTAATGTGTATGAAGGACCAAACCTGCAGAAATAAAAAAATAAATAAATACATACATACATACAGAAATATATAAATTAAATATAAAAATAAATGAGAAAAATACAAATTAACTATCTATCATTTATCTATCTATCTATCTATCTATCTATCTATCTATCTATCTATCATCTATCT